TGCTATATCTGACTCAAGACACTCAGGGTGCATACAAAGAATGGCTTCACATTGTTTAGTGTCCATGAGACTACCCTCCAAGCTAGCAGTGAAGATGAGAATGTTTTCTATCAACAAGTTGAAGAGATTGTGAAAACTCATAAAAATTAGACAACTATAATATGTGGTGACTTCAATGCAAGAATTGGATATAGTTAATTGGCCTGGTATTCTGGGGAAACATGGAATTGGTCATATGAATGAAAATGGTTAATGAGTGTTAGAATTTTGTATAAGTCAAAATCTATGCATTACCAACACCAACTTTACTGGGAAAATCAGAAGAAAGACAACATAGAAACATCCAAGATCATGGCCCTGGCAACATTCAGATCTAATACTGACCAGGTGTAACCACCTGAAAGAAATCCTGCATATGAGGTCTTATCACAATGCTGACTGTGACACTGACAAAGCCTTAGTCTGCTGCAAAGGCAGAATCAATGTAAAAAAGATTCACTGTACCAAAACCACCAGTCATCCTCAGACAGACATCAGCCAAACTAAAGACACTGAAAAATGCAGACTATTCAGTGAAGACATTGTGAAAGCAAGTTTACCTAACAACTCAGCCAAGGCTTGGGAAAGCTTAAAAACTAACAGGTGCAATGTTGTAACAGTGTTTGGCAAAAAATGCAAGAAAAATGCAAACTGGTGTGAAGAGCACTCTGAAACCCTTCTACCACTGGTTGAGGGTTAAGAACAAAAGAACAGCGCTAACCAACTATAAGACATCTCCTAGCACAATAACTCTAGAAAATCTGAGAAAGACTCAAAGACAATGCAAAAGGAGGCTAAGAAGTATGCCCAAGATTTTTGGCTGAAACTGTAATGATATTCAGAAAGCAGCTGATGCAGGTGATAGCTGTGGAAAGCATGAAGGCATCAAACAAGAAATTGATCCAATTAAGAAGAGAACAGCTCTGCTGAAAGACTTACATGGACATGTCATTACTAATAAAGAAAAATAACTTGAGGGCTGGATTGAACACTATGGAATTTTATATGGCAGTGAGACTGAATTCAAACATGAAGAACTCAAAGGATTACCACAGTTCAAAGTTATGATGGAATTTGACAATGAGCCTGCCTTCGAAAATATCCAGAAAGCCATTAAATCAATTCCTGGGAATAAGGCATCTGGCAGTGACTGAAAATCTACAAATGTGCAAACAACTAATTACTTGGAAAGTTTCATGAAGTTATAGTGCTCTCCTGGAAAGATGAAGCAGTACCATAAGATTTCAAAGATGCTTAGTTTGTACAATTATAGAAAAAAAAAGGGGGATAGAAGCAACTGTGACAACTACAGAAGTATCTCTCTGTTGAGCATCATCTGAAAAATTGTCACGTGCATCATACTTGCTAGGGCCTCTAAGTGTAAGAATCAATTTTGAAAGTCAACATGGTTTTCACACAGGTTGGTCCACCACTGATATATTTTCAGTCAAGCAACAGCAAGAGAAGTGTACAGAAAAATGAATGCTGCATATAGCCTTCAATACAGTCAACAGAAAGGGCCTTTTTACTATTTGAAGAAACTGGGTTGTCCCCCACAAACTGTTGAACATCATTCACTCATTACATCAAAGTATGAAGGCAGCTCAAGTGTATGAAAACAAAGAATCAAGCACCTTTGACATCAACAACAGGGTGAAACGGGGTGTGTCTTAGCCCCCGTGCTTTTTAACATCTATTTTTCATTCCTGCTTCTTCATGCATTCAAAGACACAATGATGGCAATCAGACTAAATCCTAGTAATCCTGGGATGGGAACCAACTATTAGCTGATTGTCAGGCCCAGCTCTGGGACTGCACCAGAACTGGTTCTAGGCTCCTGTACAGTCCAAGGGTTGGGACCAACAATTGCTGGTCCCAGCCACGTAACTGCACTGGGGCCAGTTCAAGATTCAGATGTGGTCCAAGGGCTGAGACCAGCAATCAGTTGACTATTGATCTCAGCACCAGGACCACACCAGAGCCTTCAGCTAGCTCTGGCTACCCCACCACACATTTATTTTAAGGTGTGATGGAAACCTGCCACACAAACATTACACATCTTTTGTGGAATATTTTTGTGCCAGTTTCTCATTTTGTAGGACCATTAATTCCTTGAACATGTGGCACAGTTATTATTTATGGTGTGATTAACAGGTTAATCACATCTTAATTGAAAGGTTTGCCCAGGGCCTAAAAGGAGGCTCTAAGAGGTCATACTAAGGACTTAATATATTAATCCTATAATGTAGCTGAATTCTGCAGTAGAGGATAAGACTTTCACTAAAGAAAATAGTCTTACAAAATTTCTTCACAAATGAGGAGTGGAGATGACGGAGACCTTTTCCACAGGTTGGACAAGCAGAAATATCTGACAGATTCTCCTACCATGAAGAAAAGGACAAGCTGCACTTTGTCACAAAAAACAGGTATTCCAAGACTGAATTAGGTCAGTGTGGAAAGCTATTTCCATTTCAGTCCAATAAACATGAGGTATGAGTGGCCTTTCTCTTCCCAGAACACCTTGCCTCTTTTATTACACACCTTTCAGAACAACAGGAAAAGATTTATTAATATACTAGCGAATTGCCCATCAAGAATGTTGGATGAATTTCAAATAACAAAAAACCCATATAGATTTTACTTTTTATATTTATTAAATAAATTAAATATTTATAAAACTTAAATAAAATAGGCTGAACATTTGAAGATACCAATCTCTTCCTGCACTTGGTCTCGTTTAGCGGACTGGAAGCGGACCTGCCCATGCTGCTGCTTGGCCGCTGCCTGTGCGCCTCTTTGCTAGGCAAGGTCAAGGGCAGGTGAGCTCCATGCCTCACAACAGCCACCCACATCAGGGGGCTTCCTCCATACCACCCTGGGCGCCTCCTCCCCTGCTCGGGGTTCAGGATGGGGCCATCGCTGCTCACCCACTGCCTCGTGCTTCTGACCGGCTCCCGCTTTTCCTCAGCTGGCCTCTCCCTCTGCCCTCCCCATCACACCAGACTCCTGATGCCCTCCTGGGAGAAGCTCAGTAGAAACAGCCCTGGCCCCTGACTTTTTTCCCAGTTCTGGAATTTGGAATCATCCTGACATGGTCACTAAATAAATGCTAAGGTTTAGCAAAGAAATTTCTCTGAAGACACAAATGTTCTCTCTCTTACAGTTTTCAATCTATTCACATTTAAAGAGCATTATAGACAGACACACAGACAGACGGACTAAGCCCTTTATATATATATATAGATGTGCCCGTGTCTGAGCCTTCCACCTTGCAACATGCCCAAAGAAAAATAAAAACATGTCAGAAGTTTTAAGAATACCTATTATTAAATTCTAATTAACTATGAAAAGTAATCATTTGATTGAGAACAACAATGGTAACATTTGTCAGCAGGTGGAAAAGATCATTAGTAAGAGTATAGAAATTACAATATCTTTATTGATATTTTTTCCGTGTTAGTGAATGTGTAGTGGAGTACACAGCTCCAACAAGATAATCTATTTTTAATTATTTCAAAAAGTTCACATTGCAGGGCATACAATTCCAAAATCTCAAAGGACAAGCTAATCAAGGTGAACTTTGAAATTCTTCAAATAGGATTTACCAGTCTGTTAGTGTTGATAGGCAAATCTTCAAAAAGGAAGCTTACAAGAAGTAGAAACTTGGACAAACAACTAGGAAGGACTACTAGAGTGCTGCTTGAGCATGCAGGCATTAAATCAGGAAGGCCAAAGCACAACTGGAGTTGCATCTAGCAAGGGACGTGAAAGGTAACAAGAAGAGTTTCTACAAGCATGTTAGCAACAAGAAGAAGATTAGGGAAAGGGTGGGTCCCTTACTGAATGGAGAAGGCAACCTAGTAACAAATTATGCAGAACAGGGTGAAGTACTCAATGCCTTTTTCATCTCAGTCTTTACAGGCAAGGTCAGCTCCCAGAGTACTGCACTTGGCAGCACAGTTTAGGAGGCAGGTAAACAGCCAACAGTGGAAAAAGAACAAGTTAGGGACTATTTAGAAAAGATGGACGTGTACAAGTCCATGGGGCCGGATGAAATGCACCCAAGGATACTAAGGGAGTTGGCTGATGTGACTGTAGAGCCACTAGTTATTATTTCTGAAAACTCACGGAGATTGAGAGAGATGACTGCAAAAGGGCAAACACAGTGCTCATCTTTAAGAAAGGGAGGAAAGAGGATCTGAGGAACTACACACTGGTTGGCCTCACCTCAGTCCTTGGAAAAATCATGGAGTAGGTCCTCAAGCAATCCATTTCTAAGCACTTGGAGCAGAAGAAAAATGATTAGAAAGAGTCAGCATGGATTCACCAAGGGCAAGTCATGCCTGACCAACCCAATTGCCTTCTATGATGAGATGACTGGCTCTGTGGATGCAGGAAGAACAGTGGACATGTTGTACCTTGACTTTAGCAAGGCTTTTGATATGGTCTTCTGTGACATTTTTGCAGGCAAGCTAAGGAAGTATTGGTTGGATGAATGAACTGTAAGGTAGACAGAAAACTGTCTGGATCATCCGGTTTAGAGGGTATTAATCAATAGCTTAATGTCTAGTTGGCAGCCAGTATCAAGTGCAGTACTCCTGGGATTGGTCCTAGGGCCAGTTTTGTTCAATATTTATGACAGAACAAGGAGTAATGGTCTCAAGCTGCAGCACGGGAAGTTAGGTTACATATTAGGAAAACCTCTCATGAGGAGCGTAGTTAAGCACAAGAACAGGTTACCCAGAGAGGTTGTGCAATCTCCATCCTTGGTGGTTTCTAGACAAAGCCCAACTATATCATTGGCCATGGTGATATAGCTTGGGATGGTCCTGCTTTGAGCAGGGGGTTGACCTCCTAAGGTCCCTCCCAACCCTAATTTTCTATGATTCTATGATATTATCTCCCTTGATACTAAACAATTATAAATTTCATAATAATTTTGACGAGTAAGTGTAACCTACCTTTGTCATTCCTGAAATAATTAGATGGATTCCTTGTGGCATTTCACCGTCTTCACATATAACATCTCCATAATCATAGCAAAGAACTCTTGCTTTTTTCTGAAAGGCACAACAATCATAGTCATTGTAAGTTGAAATAAATCGGTATGTAATATATGGTGTGTAGTAGCACATGAAAGACTATACATTCAAACACTACGTAATCAATATCATATTAGGAGAGAATAAATATTATGAGATATTTTAAGACTTCATATAATATGTTACTGAGCAGAAGACTCCACCACTCAAAACAATCAATACAAGTTAATATTGCACTAATAAGTATTACAATGCAATTACTTTCCTTAAAGGAAGCAGCAATGGCATAGGCCAAGACATGAAAAAAAATCCAAATCTGTTTGTGATCATTTAAAAAAAGGTTATAAAATAATTTAACCTTAAATATGTAAGCTACCAACACTCACTTTCTTTCTTTTTTTTGTAAACTTCATTGTACAGGGGAAGGTAGGCATGCTATGGAACCCATGTGCTACGAACCACAGTTACTATAAGGTAAGCAATAATTCCATCTTTTTTGAATAATTTATTATATACATTCTATTGCTGGTGATTAAAAAGAAGCTGCTGGTTTACTGGAAGATGGACAGTAAGAATCCTACTCAAACAATGAATGCAAGACAAACCTACTAAAATGGGCATCCAATCTGAAATCCTTTGCCAAGGAGTAGTAGCTTATAAAAGAATGCACTGAGCTCAAACCTGATAAACCTGCTCTACAGATTTCAGAAATAGGTACATGCTTCATTCAGCAGAGACAGTCTCAGTTTTCAGGGAATGAACTCTGATGAGACTAAGTGGACCCACCTAGCTAATTTGCATCATGCTCCTACACACACAGAAATCCATTTAAACAATCTCTAAGCAGATAAAGCCTGACCCTTAACCCTATCAGCAAAAGGCTATCCTGAATTATTTCATATTATAGATCTGTCCCGGGTGCAGTGGTTTTAACATGTTTATTCACAATTTGGATGCTGGAATAGAGAATGCCTTGAGCAAATTTGCAGATAACATGAAACTGGGAAGGATGGAAAACGCAGTGGAGGATAAGAGTAAACTTCAGGGGAATCTTGACAGACTGGAAAATAGGATTGGAGCCAACAGGATGAAGTTCAACGCAAACAATGCAAGCAGTTAAACCCAGGGAAGAATAATCAAAAGCACGTATACAAAAATAGGAGTTGACAGGTTGAGTGACAGTATTGCTAAGAAAAGATCTTGGGTTTTTTGTAGATCATAGATGCAACATGAGTCAGCAATGTGATGTGGTCACAAAAGAAAAAAATGTTATTTTGAGCTGCCTCAACAAGAGTATTAATTTAATAAGATATGGGACCACTCTACTCATTACTGGTTAAGCCTCATCTCAAGTATTGTATGCAGTCCTGGGCTCCAACTCTAACTAAGAAGTTAGAGAGGGTTCAGAGATGTGTGACAAGAATGATAAAGCTGTGTAAGGAAAGGTTGAGAGAACTAGTTATATTTAACTTGTCAGAAAGGCAATAAAGAGGGCACATGATAACAGTCTTCAATTACCTGTAAAATATGCCAGATAAAGTGTGCTAACATTGTGCTGACACATCGCTGTGCATGTTCTTAAGTTAACTGTGGCTCATTTAACTTAAATCTGCTTCATTCCAGGGGCAAGCCTGTCAGGCTATGTGCTCTCCCTGGCCAACTATTGGCAGAGGAGCAGCAACGCGTGTTAGAAGGGCTACATGTGTAAAGGGCTGTGGCATTTCTACTTTGATCTGAGTCAAAACTGGAACCATCAGGATCACCTCAAATGAGACGTCTGTTTACAGCCTGAGAGATTTCTGGTGCATATTCCATACATATGGGTTGTATTCCAGTTTGACTTTTTTTCACAAGAAAAAATAAAACGAAGCTGGACAAGTGAGAGTTAATTTGTTAATGTATGTGGATTGTCTGTTATTCATAGAAGAACTAAACTTACTTATTGGGAATTATTTTTTTCTCAGAAAAAAAATAGTACAAGTGTTTCCCAATTTCAGGTGCACACCTCCAAGGCATGAACCATTCAGAATATTTCAGTCCCACAACTTAACTCTGGCTCATTAAGCTGCTTAAGCAGATGATGTGCATGCTTTCCCAGCTGATAAGCTATAAAAGCCAGAATATGCATCAACAGTCATCTTTTTGGAAGAAAGAAAACAGTGAGGAAATTTTCCTTAAAGATTCACCCTAACCTCCCCTTTGGTTCAATCAGTACCAGTAAACAGCACCATGGAGACCCAACACTAGGGAAAACCAGTCATGTAAGGACAACATTATGAAGAGGGATGTTGCAGGAATGAAAGGTGATCATGCAAGGTCAGCATGGATGTGTGCTGTACTAGAGGGACAAATGGTTCAAGGATTTATGCAATATGAGAGAGGCTGTCAATATTATCTAACTGATGGCCCCCGTGTTCCCATCAGAGTTCCTGCTGCAAAGAATCTAATCCAGTCTATCAGAACAGGATTCACCTCTGATAAGCCCAACAGGTAATGTGCAACCATGGATCATCTAAGAGCAGTGAAAGCTGGAGCCAATCTAGTAACAGAAAGTGCCAAATCATCTACTAAGGAGAACTCCTGACACAAGGACACAAGGGGCATGTCTACATGTGCATTAATGTGCCATAATTACAGCACATAAATGTGAGTACCTGTAAAAACAGCTGCTAACTTAATGTGCGATAACTGGTACTGTGCCATAGCACTGGTGCATCTTTTTCATGACATTAATGTCCAGTAGACTAATTCTACTGCACATTAGCACAGCTGTTGCCGTTATGTGCTAATATGCAGTAGAATTTGTCTACTGCGCTTTTAGCGTTTCATGTAGATGTGCCCAGTGTCTCCCATGCCATTGACTTATTTCTATCTGTAGAAGTGTGGCATGTAAATTAGTTCAAGAAGTGTTATAATTGACCGAGTTACCTCTGATATTACAACAGCTCCAATTAGGAGTGAGGTGAACTATTGAACTCGACCTGTCTATAATTATAACAGTTAGATATGACTGTAATAATTTTGCTTAAGTAGAAACTAATTTCTTCACATAAATGAAAGATTTCAATTATGCGGGATTCAAGGAAAGTTCAGAGTCTGTTTTACTTTGCTGGAGACTGAGCCTAAGATCATCCAAGTAAAGGTTTAACCAGTGTGTTATTTCTTTTAAAAAACCATTTTAAAATTAATTTTAAGTCCAATTAGCAAGTTTACTTGTAAATTCTCAAAAAAATTAATTCAGTATTCAAAGAATAAATACTTTAAAATTTGGTCAGGATATGATGAATTCTTCATACATAAGAGTAGTTTAATTCTTTCAAGGGAAGAACTCGACTGAGCCTTCATTGTGAAGTCAAGACTAACACCTCTATAATATTTTTCTTTGGAAAATAGAACATTATATAGAAATCAAAACCAACTAAAAAGTTAAATATTACCTGAATGAATTCAATTTGTTTCTTTTCATTTTCTAACCAACTGATATTTCGTAGAAGTTCCTCTGCAGTGGGTGGTGCAATAGTAGATGGAAGAGTTCCCAGTTGTTTTTTTTTAATGAGAATCATCTGCTCATGAAGAAAAAAACCACTTTTGTGTATTCAAAATTTGTTGAATTCTGTTGTGCAGATAAGCTCTTTACATGGATTATTTCCACTGAACCTCTTATTTTGAAAATATTCTTCCCCCATATTTCTGTAAGTCTTAATGTCACCTGTGTACTAGCACAAACATATTTTACCATTGTGCTGTACTTAGATTCCAATACTTCAGATACATATACATGCTTAGTGTTATCCACTGTGAGAAGTTCAACTGACTTCAACGAGACTACTCAAAACACACACTTATTTTTTGTGGAGTGATAGACCAGTTTGGGCCTTGATGGAAAGCAACTGATACTTTCCACCACTTCACCATTTAAGCGGACTGGCTGATAGTGTGGGGACAGAGTAAAGGGAACAACGACATAAAACACTACAGAACATATCTGATGCAAAATCTGCCAGAACTGTTTTTTCTAAGTGTAGACTGGAGTGTGCATTAATACACCCATTGATCAGTGCATACACAAATCATAGAGAGGTATTGCTAACAGTAGGCCTGAGAATGAAGCTAGGTATACCATAGCCATATAGCTTGCACAGAAGTGTTGAAAAATGTTGCCTTTAAGACTTACAGCACTTACCCAGCACTTACGTACAAGCCATCTTTGGTACGTTTAGTTTTGTTCTCAGACAAGGGAACTCCTACCCCCCAACTCTTGCCCCATTCCTCACAGCCTGAGGTTTGGGCTACCCTACCTCCATTCCAGTGCTCCTGCTAGACAGCACCCAGAACTCATGCCCTGCTTGCCCACCACTAATTATGCCACTCTATCAAAATCACTCAGGATTTAATCCTGCTTCATCCAGGGTCAAAGTTGGGATGATTTAGCTCTCTCTTATCACTACAGGCTCATTCATGTATATGAAACAGTTACAGCATAACAGTTGCTGAGAGCTCCTCAGCATCAGCTCCCCATCTCCTTTTGAAGCTGCAAGAAAAGTATATTTGTCCATACCCTTCATTGTGAATAATGAAGAATCCAAAATTATCTCTGAGCAAGTAAAACTTGCTCTTTAACCCTACCTGCATTAGCTATGAATAACTTAGGGGATACAATAAAAAGACTGTTTCTGTCTGCATCAGAGATAAACCACCTAAACAAATCTCCTGGATGAAAAATCGCTTCCCGTCTGGTTTGGAATGTAGCTTGGAAAAGACAAGTAAGTGTGTAAGGTAAAAATTACAGACCACTCAATGGAAATAAGCTTAAATGCGTATGGTTAAAAAGGACTTAAAGCTTAGGACTTCCAGGCCACCATGTGGAGTAGCCCTTCTACAGAGGACCTAGATATCAATTTTAAAGAATCAGAAGAGTTAGAATCATAGAATCACAGAAAATCAGGGTTGCAAGAGCCCTCAGGAGATCATCTAGTTCAAGCCTCTGCTAAAAGCAGGACCACCTCCAACTGTATCATCTCAGCAAAGGCTTTGTCTAGTGTGGTTTTAAAAACCTCCAAGGATGGGGATTCTGCCCATTTCTCTGGTTAACCTGTTCCAGTGCTTTACAGCCTTCCTAATGAGAAAGGTTTTCCTAATATCTAATCTAAATTTCCTTTGCTGCAACTTGATACTGTTGCTTCCTGTTCTGTTATCTGCTATCACTAAGAACAGTCTAGCTCAGTGTTTCCCAACATTTTCCAGCCCAAGGCACACTTACATTAATACAATTTTTTTCCACAACACACCTGTTAAAGCATTCCCTATCCTCATACCTATTGTAACTGATTGCCATGGCAAAATTCCGCAGCACACCTGTTCGTTTCTGAGGGCACGCTTTTGTGCTGCAGCACACTGGTTGGGAAACACTGGTCTAGCTCCATCCTCTTTGGCACCACCCTTCGGTAATTGAAAGCTGCTATTAAATACTACTTTTGTTCCTGAACCCTCAGTAAGGTTTCTTCAAAGTATAGCCAGCTCTCTTGGACTCCTCTCCCCCTCCAACTGACCTCCGAGGGGATCCTGCCCATGAGTTACCTAAGTCAAAAAATCTGCTTGGCTGAAGTCCAATGTCCTTGCTCTGTTGCTCTCTATCCTTCCTTTTCTAAGGATCCTGAATTCAATCATCTCATGGTCGCTGCTTCCCAAGTTGCCATCTACTACTACATTCCCCACCAATTCTTCCCTGTTTGTGAGCAGCAAGTTGAGAAGAGCACAGCCCCTAGATGGCCTCTCCAGCATTTGCACCAGGAAGTTGTCCCCAACACTCTCCAAAAACTTCCTGGATTGCTTGTACACTGCTGTATTGGTCTCTCAGCAGATGTTAGGGTGACTGAAGTCCCCCATGAGATCAGGTAACTTGCGCTAGTTGTTTGAAGAAAGTCTCATCCACCACATCCTCCTGGTCTAGTGATCTATAGCAGACCCCCACTGTGACATCACCCTTGTTGCTCTCCCTTCTGACTGTAATCCAGATTCTTTGAACAGGCTTATCTTCAGTTCCATACTGAAGCTCTAAGCAATCATATTGCTCTTTTACATAAAATGCAACTCCTCCTACTCTTCTCCCCTACCTGTCCTTCCTGAACAGTTTATACACATCCTTGAAAGTGCTCCAATCATGTGAGCTCCCACCAAATCTCTGTTATTCCATTCACATCATAGTTCTGTGACTGTACGAGGATTTACAATTCTTCCTGCTTGTTCCCCAGGCTCCGCACATTTGTGTACAGATACCTGAGGTAACTAGCTACTTGCCCTACTTTCTCAGAAAGAATGAAAATGCCTCCCCTGTTGCCCCCTCCTACTTGCACTTCCTCCAAGTCACCCACTTCCTCACTTACCTCAGGCCTTTGGTCTTCCCCCAGCAAACCTAGTTTAAAACCCTCCTCACTAGGTTAGCAAGCCTGTCTATGAAGATGCTCTTCCTTCCCTTTGTTAGGTAGCTCCCGTCTCTTCCTAGCAATCCTTCTTGGAACAATATCTCATGGTTAAAGGAGCCAAAGACCTACTGGTGACACCATCTGTGTAGCCATGTATTGATCTGCAGGATGCCCCCAGCTCCTGCCTGAGCCCTTCCCCTTGACCAGAAGGATTGAGGAGAATATCACCTGAGCCCCCATTCCCTTTACTCTTGCACCCAAAGCTTTGTAGTAATTTTTGATCTGCTTAGGGTATCCCTGGCACAATTATTGGTGCCCACATTGATGAGCAGCACTGGGGTAGTAGTCAGAGGACTAGATGATTCTTGGTAATCCCTCTGTGACATCTCAGATCTGGGCAAGCAGCAGACCTCCCGAGACAACAGGTTCAGCTGGCAGAAGGATGCCTCCATCTCCTGCAGAAGGGAGTCTCCAACCACCACTACCACCTGATGTTTCTTCTTGGTGGCATTGGTTTCAATCCTTCCTACCTTGGGGAGGCCTGGTCTATCCTCCTCCACCAATGGAACATGCTTCTCCTCCTCTGTTGCTAGGGCTCCATAACGGTACTCTAGGCAAACTGATGCAGGTAGAGATGAAGATTTTTGCTTGCTGCCAGAGGTCACAAGCTTCCAGCTTCCACCTTTCTGGGAGTCCAGGTCCTCTTCTTTCTCTAGCTCTACCTTTAGCAGCCCTTCCTCCACAGTCCTACAGGTCTCCTTCAGCATCAAATTAATGAAGTCCTCATGGCAAAAGATTTTTTGAAGCCTTGCTACCTCTTCCTGTACCTCTCTTGCCTGCTCCTTGAGGGACACCAGCAGGAGGCTCTACTCACATCGTGGGCACTCTCCCGCCTGGCCATCACTGGAAGGAACCTGCAAGCTGCAGTTTCCATAGTGCCAAACCAGGCCTGGGTGGAAGCCTCGACAGTGAGTAGTCCTGCTTGGACAGACACCTCACAGGTGCAAGCAGTGGCAGGAGCAGTGGGTTTGGCATTGTGACATCCTCCAGCCATTTCCCTGGGTCTCAGTATGCTGCCTCTCTCTTGCTGCCCTTCTTCCAAGCGGACCTTCCCTAGCAAACTCATCTGTAAGCTCCCTGATTTACTGTTCCTGGGCCCCAAAAAGTTCCTTTTACCTTGCTTCCTCTTACCAAGCTTAAAGCCTCCCCATTCAAAGAGGGGAACAGCAAACTGACCTGCAACTGACCAGCGAACAGCTTGCAAACTGGTGCCCCTGTCTGCCTGCTCCTGGTCACTCAGGGAGTCTCCTTTTATACCCTGCTGGTATAAAAGGAGACTCCCTGGCTCTGCCCACTCATTAGGGCTTTTGTCAGGCACAGGTAGAAATCACCCAAATCACCCAGCTAGCAACACTCCCAGCTTCAATAGAGCACATGCCCAAAACACACACAGCCCACCAAACAAACACTCAGCAAGCCAAACACACAAGTTGCACTGGCTCACTTACCTTCCCAGGGCAAGTTCCTTCAGCCTCTCCTCATAAGTCATATTTCCCGTCCCTCTAATCATTTTTGTTGCCCAGACAAACACTTTGGGCACATCTACATAAGATGCTAGCTCTGCAGTAGCCTAATAACACTGCGCACTACCATGTCACAACACGGGCAGTGCTTATATGCTACTGCACAATATTATTAGGGTACTGTGCAGTGGCATCAATAAAAAGGTGTTTGCCAGTGCTGCTGCACAGTAACTGGGTTATACAAGAACTAAATTAGATATACAATAACCACTGCACTTTAATGGACATGTAAACATGCTCTGTTATTCATAAAACCTTTAATCTCAGGTGCTTAAGCAATATATATAAGCTGAGTCCACTTCTCATTCCTTCAGATCCTAGAAAATCCCAAAGAAAATTAAACAAGTACAAGTAGGAGAAAAGGAGGGAAGAGAGAATGCAAGATGTCAGAACAAGAAGGACCCTGTCAACTAACACCAAGCTGGCCACAAGTAAGAACAAGCATTTTGTGAAAACATAAGGAACTGATATGAGTCAAAAGACCATAAAGTATTAGTAGTTTTGGTCCATTAAAAAATCCAAGATGCTTTTATTGCTTGGGAAACACCTGTTTGTGCATGATGCAGAGCACATAGCCAGGGGTCACACAAGCAGATTGCTGCCTGAAACTAGAGCTCCAAATGGGAAATGGCACAGCTCACAAACATTACCGATCCCTGACCCCCTTAACTTCCAAAGAATACATCATCTGTTTGTGGAATGCATAGCTCATGTAAGGGGATCAATCTGAAAAGTTACTTCTCTAAAAAACTCATTGGGAGGTCCAAACTCATCAAAGCAGCTTACAGGACCTGCAGAATCAAGTATGGCTTCACCAGGGGTAAACCAAACAGGCAGAGCAGAGAAAGAGAAAGATAAAACAGACCTTATGAGAGAGGACATTGCTGAGTCAATCTTCAAAAATCAAATCTCCAAAATCTTCTATGTAGGCAAGAATTGTAATGTGGGGGGGAAAAAGACGTTTTGCAGCTGGTATACTGCTTTTTATTAAAGACCGTCTGTCCTCCTTAAGCAACAATATTCCAGACATGTAGATAATACTCAGCCTCTGGATGTCAAATTAACTATAATAAATCAGAAATGCTAGGTGACAGCAATGTATGTGGCCCTCAACAGGTGCCCCAAACTCATTAAGTGGCCCTCCAGCTGAAATAATTGCCCATCCCTATTCTAAGATGTAGGGTCTTTCAGTGCCAAACATAATGGCATATAATCATGTAACTCAGCTGAAAGATATTAGAAACTGGTATGGGAAACCTTATTCAAAGCTATGGACTGATATTAAATGGAAGTGGTATGAGAAAATGGATTTCTCAGATGTATTGGTACACTGGGGAAAAGACAAAATCAGCCAAAATAAACTTAAAGATCACCTCCTTATTCAGACTACTTTGAGTCTATAGAAAAACATAAGGCTAGGGACAGAAATTACACATGAACTGGTATAAGTGATTGGCAACCAGTCTAAACCTGTAACAGAACACAAGTTCAGTGTACATAAACCAATTTCAAAACAGAGGAATCCTGTTTAAGATGGACCTGGATGCATGTAGTATCAGACTGAATCACACTAGGTTAGACTGATGCAGATCTCCTCCTGACACATTAGGTTGCGGTCCCCTGGCATCCCAGGATGCACGACAGCCCAGCTCACTGCTAGCTTGATTTCACAGGGCAGGCTTTTACTCCTGCAGCCTGGCTCCACTAGGCAGTGAACATCCCAGCCCTGCCCCCTCACCAGCCTCCCACCTCTTAGCCACTGGAGCATTTGCCGTGGGAGTTCCCGCTGCACCTGCTGTGGAGACCCCAGCTGGGGATGGCCAGGGCAAGGGGGTCCATTTCCCCACCCTGTTGTGGCCAAGAAGCAGAGAACTGGTGGAGGGGTGGGGCTGGAGTGTTCACTGCCTGGTGGAGCTGGGAGGCATGTGGGAGTGCCCTCCACCTTCTGGTCTTGGCCAGTGCAGGCATCTGCCTGCCTTAGCCAATGGAAGAGTGAACATGAGTTCTGTTTGTTAAGGTACAACCTACACAGCTTAGAGAAACCTGCGTACACTGGATCAGATTCACCTCAGGCTTTTTGACCGTCTGTACTTAGCCTAAGAGTGCCTTTCCCTCTTGCCCCTCCCCATTGGCCTCCATGGCTAAAAATAAAGAATTCCTCCCTGAAACTTGTCTATAAAGATTTTCTGCTTCCACTTAAAAATGATTTTCAGCATTTTGTTTAAAATATTTTTGTTTCTGCAAAATGTAACCATGACAGCCTTGGAAGCTGAAGAATCAAGCAACTTTGCTCAAATGCACTTGCCAAAATGATATGGCTGAAAGACTTGCATGTAAAAGCTAGCATATACAAGCAGACTTCTGAAGTACTTTTACCTTCTCTATTTTGGCTCCTTCATTTTTATCAACAATTCCTCCTGATATCAAGACTTTAAGAGTTTCTGAAGCTGTGTTTAGCACAGTTTGAACTGCTTGTTTGGTTTTCAGAGCAGTAACAATATCTGGATAATCACGCTGCATTAAACCTATAATAAATAAGAACATGTTTTGACATTTTCACCTGAGTACACTTTTAAGTGTGACATTGCCCCACACATGGAGAAAACACCCTAAATATGCTAGTAAGTTAATAAAAGGAAAATTATTTGTTTTATTTCTGTTAGTCATAGTCTATCTCCTCTTGTTATGGAAAAATCCTTCACTTTATATTTTTTGTCTAGATCTTCCACAAAACAAGAAATTTATAACTGTTTCTGACCTTGATTTGTAGTTTGGGGAGAAAAAAAGACTCTTTTGCTCTATCAAAATGTAAACCTCTATCAATAAGACAAGAACTATTTAAAAAAATTTTATTACCTCTTGTGCATTGCTAAATATATACATGATTAATTTTATGTCTGATTTCATTCCAATATTCTTAGCTTTAAGTTTTTTTTAATTTTTGAGTCTGGACCTTTTAGAACACTATGAATAATATTTGTGGGCTTGACTCTTGACTTCAATACCCATGCTTTACCTCTAGCACAGCGAGGTATTTGAGTCACTCAAGCTGCCTCCCTGCATGGTGGCAAATCTCAGCACCAATACTCTAAGCCAGGTTTTGTATCTGGTATATGGAGGCAACTGCAGTATTCAGTGATTTCTACTGCATGGGGAGTTCATTAAGAATGAACTCATAAACTACTCAATGAGTTCCCTATCAGAATTAATGAGCCACTCATGACTATTTGGTCTTAAACTGGAGGGAAGCCAATATTCCACTGTCATCAGCACTTATGCCCCGCCTCTTGATGCCGCCAATGAAACCAAAGAGTAATGGCAACCTGACCAAGCCTTTTCTGATGTTCCAGAAGGAGACAGACTTATTCTTCTCAGTGATTTCAATGCCAGAGTCAGAAGGGACTCTAACCTCCAGAACTGAACCATTAGCAAGGAAGGAGTAGGAAAGGTCAACTCCACTAGCATCCTCTTGACCAAATGTGCTGAACGTGGATTCACCATCACCTGCACCCTGTTTCACTAAAAAAAAAGGCACAAGACAACATGACAACTCCCACAATCTAAGCATTGGCACCTGATTGACTATGTCATCATCTGTGCCTGAGACTGCAAAAATGCCTGCATCACCTGAGCTATGCTAGGAACTGATGACTGTTGGACTGAACACTGACTCATCCACTTAGTTATGTCACTCAGACTGGTTCCCAAACAATGGCTGCAGCAGAAGCAATGCCAATGGAAGATCAGTGTCGAAGGACTCAAGGACCCAAGCAAGCAAGACCTCTTCCATCAGTCCCTGAACCAAAAACTGGTGAATTCCAAACTACAACAATGGGAGAATATCAGGAGCATGAGGGGGTGCTCTCAAGGCCACTGTCATCAGTGCCTGTGAAGAGACACTTGGATTCTCTACAAGGAAACATCAAGACTGGTTTGATGAGAATGACCAGGAGATCCAACTTGATCAATCACAAGCACAAGTTCTTTTGTGCTTGGCAAAATTACACCAACTCCAAGCAAAAGAAATTGAATCTCTAACAAGCCAAGGCAGAGGTCCAAAGGAGGACCCGTGTTATGAAGAACAAATGGTGCAAAGACAAGGCTAAGGAGATTCAACATTTTGCTGATATGCACAATATGCAGTTTTCTCAGTGCCACCAAAGCCATCTATGGTCCGAGCACTCAGGGACCAAACCCCTTGAAGCCTAAGGATGGAGGAGACCTGATCAAAAAAAGGGGAGCCCATCAAAGCCCATTGGAAGGAGCATTTTGAAGACCTTCTCAATAGAGACCCTGTTGTTGACAAGGGTGTTCTCAACTCCATCCTCCAACACTCAGTCAGAGATGTTCTCGGAATCTCTCCAACTCTTGACAAGGTGAGGAAAGCCATCAAGCAGATAATGACAAGGCACATGAAGCAGATGGAATCCCCAAAGAAATCTTCCAGCAGTGGGGAGAGCAGCTTACATCACACCTCAATGCCCTCATCTTAAAGATCTGGAATGATGAGGAAATCCCAGATGACCTCAAGGATGCCATGACTGTGACAGTCTTCAAGAAAGGAGACAAGTCCAACTGTAGGAACTACAGAGGGATCACCTTGCTGTCCATCACAGGAAACATCATTGTAAGAACCATCCTGAAGTGTCTCCTTCAATTTACTGAAAAGTTCCCCCTGGAATCTCAGTGTGGGTTTGGGGTATCAAGAGATACAACTGACATGATCTTCACAGCTTGCCAGCTGCAGGAAAAATGCCAGGAACAACATAAGTCTCTCTACATGGCCTTCTCTGATCTCACAGAAGCTTTTGACTCTGTCAGTCAAGAAGTGTTGTGGAGGATCCTTTTGAAGTACAGATGCCCACCAAAATTTGTCACCATTCTCTGATTGCTCCATGATGGTATGCAAGTGGTAGTTCTCAGTAATGGATCTATCACAGATCCCTTTGAGGTTAAAACAGGAGTTAAGCAAGGCTGCATCATTGCTCCAACACTCTTCTCAATATTTCTTGCCAGGCTGCTATATCTGACCACCAACAAGCTTCCAGCTGGAGTGAAGCTAAACTACCAAATGGATGGTAAGCTGTATAACCTCAGCCAACTCACAGCCAAAACCAAGATCACCCCAACCTCAATCATTGAGCTCCAATACACTGATGATGCTGTAGTTTGTGCTCACTGGGAAGCATACCTTCAAGCAATCGTCAACATCTTTACTGAAGCAAACAACAAAATGGGACTGATGTTTAACATTTGGAAGACTAAGGTCCTCCATCAGCAAGTTCCTAATGAACAGTCCTCAGGTCCGGTAATCCAGATCCAGTGAGACTCTGGAGAACATTATTTCCCATACCTTGGAAGCTCTGTCTCTCAGAAGGCTGACATTGGCAAAGAAATCTAATATTACCTCAAATGGGTAAGTACAGCCTTTGGACGCCTGAAGAAATGGGCATTCGAAGATCATGACATTGATTCTGAAACCAATCTCATGATTTATCAAGTGGTCGTAATCCCCACCTTGCTGTACAGAGCTGAGATGTGGACAACATACAGGAGACAACTAAAGTTGTTGGAGAAGTGCCATCAATCCTTGAGGAAAATCTTCTGAATCCAGTGAAAAGATAGATGCACTAATGTTAGCATACTCCTACAAGCAAACACCATGAGTACTGAGGTGGTGATCATCTGACATCAAGTTTGTTCGGCTGGCCATGTCATCTGAATGTCTGACTCCAGGCTCCCAAAGCAAGTTTTATTATCCCAGCTCAGCCAAAGCATATGCTCAAGCGGATGGCAAAGAAAGTGCTTCAGGGACGTCCTCAAGGCCAATTTAAAAAAATCGCAACATTAATGTCAACTCATGGGAGACTATCACCCAGGACTGCCACAAATGGAGGAAGAGTCTGCTGCAGGGACCTTAGTACTCTGAATCCTCACAACAACAACAGGAGATGAAAAAGCAGAAGTGGCAGAAACAGTATCTTGCAGACCAAATCAAGAATCCAGGACCATTCACCCCACACAGAAACACATGTCTGAGCTTCAATAGAGTCTGTCAATCCTGAATAGACCTCATCAGCCATCTTCAGATACATAGATGAGACAATCATGGAAGACAATCATCCTTGACTGCAAGGGATTGCTGAAGAAGACTGCACGGAGCAAAGTCCTGGTACCCACACTCTCAGTTGAACTTTGCACCTATGCAAGAGAGGTTTCTGACTGGCTCAAATGCCTCCCTGAGTCAAGGCAAATCCCAGGACCTGAGCTTTCGGTGCAGGAGGTAGCTAAAGCATGTAGAACTTCAACTGTTGCATCAGAGGCAATGTCCATTGATCAGTCTATTTGGACAGCCATGTTATTCTGGTTGTGTAGGGTTCTAGACAACTACAGCCACTAGAATGGCTGTAGCTACTCAAAGCCTTTGCACAGCTAGTAACTGTTAGTCACCCTTATGCAGAGGGGATTTATGCAGCTACATGTAGCCATGGTAAATCCTTTAGTTGTGGCTAGACACCTTATTAGAATTTAAAATGCCAATGTAGCCATGTAAGCCACTGACATATGTGACTTATGCAGCTACATCAGTTGTTGAATGTCACCCGAAGTGCCCATTTTTTATGGCAGAGCTGTCCAACTTGTAAGCGTCCAAGAGCCAAATGAACTATAGGCTGTACCAGTGGGGGATTAGTGAGCCCTAGCACCATAAGCTATAACCAATCCCCTCTACCGTACTGTGAGCTGCCCACCCCTGGAGTGGAAGCAGGAAGCAGAAGCTAAAGGAGGGAGGGAGAGCCTAAAGACCTCAGCTGCAATAGCACCTGGAGTGATAAGAGGAGCAAGCCAGGTAGGAGCCCGGGGGACATACAATTGGACAACCCTGCTTTATGGAATGACATATATAACATAGACTTTTCTGCTTAAACTGGGCCAACATGAGAAAACTATCAGCTTTTGTTTTCATTACCAAAGTGGTCTGTAGCTGAGTCTAGCATGGTTACATTTTGCTTGCCAAATCAGTGTTGTTTATTATATGGAACGTGTAAAATGGCATCCAAAATAAAATGTGTAACCACATAAAAGGAAAATTGATTCCAGCTACAAGTCTAAGGGAAACGAAATAACCTTTTGAATAAATCTGTAGAGATGGAAGACAAATTAAACTTTCACTTCGCTATGAAAGTAATTCCAGCTGAAATCTGAAACTACAATAAGCAAGAAAACTTAAAAATCCATTCTCCCCAGCATTCTCAGGATACATAAACTTGCTTCACATCTTCACCAGAATCCTCTAGAAAGCTTTGGTTATTGGGATACCACACACTCTGCTAAGGTGCTGACCAGACACCAGCTAAAGATGCATAAAGACCTCTAGCTCTAATTCAGGGGCTGGCAATCTTTAACAAGCTGCAGGCCAGAACAACACACCTCTGGTCTGCTGTGAGCTGGGCATCTTCGGCAGTGTATCAGCAGTGCAGGGGGGTGCTTTCCCTGGCTGGGGCCAGGCTGAGCTGCTGCCACTTCTCCCAGTCACCTACTCCCTCATGCTGGTTCACTTTCCAGGCATCTGCAAATTGGGTCTGCACTGCCACCACATCCCCATCCCCTCTACCAGCTACAACACAGGCACAGGTGGAAGATACCATGCCCCAGCATAGCTCCCCACTGCCTGGAGGCTGTGCCTATGCCACAAATGGAGGAAGGGGGGAAGCAGTAGCAGCATGGACACAGTTTGTAGATGCTTGGTCCTGGCATAGCTCCCCACTGGCTGGAAATTGCACCCATGGCACAGCCAAGGAACAGGGGGCTAGGAGAAGCAGTGGCAATGTGGGCAGCTCCCAGCAGCCTGTCTCCAGCTTGGGCATGGGGAAAGTCCTCTTCCCCGCCGCCCCCGCCCCCCCCTCCCCCCGGG